ATACTCACAAGCTCGTCCACCAAAGAATGAATTGCTGTACTTAGAATCAGCAATATTGTATGTTCCAGCAATGATATCCATGATAAGGCTGGCCAGTTGAGACATCAAAACCATTGGATCAACCCCAGTGTCCATCAACTCTCTAGCTCTTTTTACTGTTTCTGTTGTGTCAGATGACATTGCTAATTCCAGAAGTTCCAATAATTTCTCATCTGAAACAACCCCGACCTGCAGGAAGAAAGTTGTCCAAATAACTCAAACTGTTCATATGTAAAAGATTATATACATATATATTGAAAAATATAGTTCTCCTTATTGCTGGGACTTGCCAAACATACAATAGTTCAATATGTTATTCTACTAACCATAACTTTATAACATTCATGAAGCGATCAACTAAAACCTGAAAATGAAGTAACCATGTCAAGGAAATAATTTCAAGCATACTCACAAGTTCATTTACAAGAGATGCTGTGATTCTTTTACCCAACAAACTTAGCTGGTCTAGCATTGTTTCTGCATCTCGGAGTGAACCATCTGCATTCAATGCAATTAAATCTAATGCATCTGATTCAACCTCGAGATTCTCATCAGTAGACATCTTCCTCAACCTGGCCATGATATCACCATCTTTTATTTTGTTGAAGAGATACTTCTGACATCGTGATTGCACAGTCCGTGGAACATTGTCAATATCAGTTGTTATGAATATGAACACAAGATGTGGCGGAGGATCTTCAAGGAATTTCAGCAATGCCAGCCATATATTAGAGGGCAACAAATGACACTCATCAATAACAAAAACCTTGTAACGTGAAGAGCTTGATGAGAGACCTGTTGATAGGCTTTTCAAAAGGTACCTAACTCTATCAATTCCTCTTCTATACGTGCTATCGAATTCCCAAAACTCCCTGTGTTTCCCGGAAATAAACTCAGTGCATTCTGTACAGTAGCCACAAGGCTTAGCATCTTCTGTAGTCTGACAATTCAAAGAAGCAGAGAAAATTCTGGCAGCTGATGATTTTCCAGTACCACGGGGACCTTGGAAAAGATAAAAGGGGGCAATTCTTCCCTTTGAAACAGCATTTATAAGGGATTGTACCACAATATTCTGCCCAATCAGTTCATCAAAGAACATCGGTTTGTATTTCTGACTTAAGCTCTTAATATTTTCTGGCGTACCCTCCTCCTCTGTTTCTCGAATAAGAGCTACAATCTCTAACCCATCTTGACTCCTACAGCTAGATGACCATCTCCTTCCGTCCAATCTACTTAGGGCCTCTAAATCAAGCTCTCCAAAGTTAGTAGAGAGCTCATCATCACTACATCTAGTTCCGATGGATGACCCACCTCTTCCATCAGCACTATTGCTAAGCAATGGGAGAACAACTTGAGCACTTCTCAAATCAATTTTCTGCTTATTGCAAAGAGACAATGATCGTCTATGTCTACAGTACATGGATTGACTTCCACAGAGAATGCTACTTCCTTTTCTTCTTAAAGTATCAGATAGAGATGGAGAATAACAACTCCCACAAACCACTCTATGTTTTGGGGTCCTCTTTGTCCAATAGCAAGGAATCCCACATCCTTGCCGACCAGGCAAATCCAAAGGGTCATCGACCTCGTCATCCCCATCATTCAATGAAGTTGTGGTCGCATCCCATGAGCCAACAACGCTTGGATTGCGGTTGAAATACTTCTTATAAGAACTAGTTGACAACGCAGGAGTGCTATATGAATAAGAAGAATCGTCCCTTCTGTCAGTTCTCAACAATCTAGAGGATGAATGTGACCAGTTCTTATGCTTGAGCTTGAGAAGCAGTGGGGATGCCCCTAAAATCTTGCGAAAATCCTCGGAATTACTATAATCTTCAGTGTCATCAGATTGATCAACAGAATTACCCCTTCCTAAACCTAAAGCCAATGCAGGATGAGCCTTGAGCAATTTCCTGGAGTAAACAGAATTCCTATTAACACCATTCTTTTTTTGTTCACATCTAGAAAAAACATCAAAACTTGAACCATTCTTCTTACTATTCTTGTTGACCCCCAACATTCTTTTGCTGGACGGTGTGACCGATGAGATGAGATTCGCATCTCTACACCTGAACATCAACGAAGCAGATCGACACTCACCTAAACAGGTATCACTTTTCGAATCCCCACACTTCCTTGCATCACTCAAGCTATTTTCATCCACGCTACCTTGAATCCAAGACGACGACTGATCTCCATCATCGCCATCATCAAAATCACCATCATTATCCTCCCCTTCATCATCCACATTTACAGATGAAGAATTCTGACTCCTCCAATTATAAAGGAAAACCCTCTTATCTTTTTCATTACCATTAACAACACTACGACCACGATGACCATTGCTTTCAACTCTAAAGGGTAACAAAGATAAATCCAAATGAGTATTCCCATTCGACCTATTTAAACTTTCACTACCAAAATGATTTCTCAAAGCAGTACAAGCAGAAGTCGAGCCTGCACCTGCTGCTTCCATTGCTGCCGTCACAGATCTAGAGGAGTTGATGGGCGATTTCCACGAAGAAGTGGTCCCGGGATCTCGCAAAACTCGGGCAGCTTTCCGGATTTGAGTCAGCTCCTTCTTCAAGTGCAGCCTGCTCGGATCAGCCATTCTCACATCCGACATTTCTCTTCTTTTTTTGCTTTTGGGGTCTCAAATCAGCTAAAGAAAAAAATCACCCCAGAGCAACAAACTCGCTAAAGACTGTACATTTCAATCTCGTTCATCATCTCCATAAATACAGATGCAAAACAGAACCAAAAAAAATAAAGAACTTTTTTTATTACAAAGGCAGGGGATACTGAGAAAGAAAGTCTATGAATGCGGGCAGATCCGACAGGTTGTCCTTCGGACAGCGTTTTAATTAGATGATGAAAACGATAACTGAATTTCTTTTTCTTTTTTTCATTACAATTTTCTAAGCACTTTCTAGGGTTTTTTGTCGCCTTTCAGTTGGCGCCCCAAATGAAATCTTTTAAATCTTTTTGCTTTTCCTTTCGAATAATTTTGGTTGAATTTCATATCAAGTCCTCGTACTATGCATTTCTTTTTATGCATTTAATCATTGTACTTTAATTTCATCATCTCTACCCCCTTTATTTTTGGAAATGTTTATTTCTAATTGATGAAAGCACCTATCATATCACTCTATTATACCAATTAGGTATTGATTGAAGGGATTATGACGAGGTTGACTCTATAAAATTTTAAATTCTCATATAATTCAAGTATTTTTTATTGATAACTTTTTTCCTTAAAATGTTTATAAGTTACTTTAATATAAAACCGTGTGTCTATTCCTAATAGACACACGATTTTATTAAAACAATATTAACAAGTTTTTATCAAGTTTTTTTTTAATAATTCAATCAATTCAATATTAAAACATATATACATCATAATATATATGTAAAAAATATGATCATCGAATTATTTAATGAATTAATAGAAGAATGACATCGATAATGAAAATATGTCTTGCAAAAAGCAAAAATATTAAAAATATCAAATTAAGGATTAAATCCAGTAAATATGTACAATGGAAGGACCTTAAGTGAAATTTTACATTTTAATTTTCAGGTCAAACTCAAAATTTATAGAGGGAAATGTGAAAGTAGGAAACTCCCTCCAACTTCGGAGAGCACAGGATGCAATAAAATTTATTTTATTTTCAATGTCACGTTATTTTTATACTTTTATTCATTGTATTCTATTTTAAAATTATTTTTCAAATTAAATATTTAATCTAATAAGATAAAATATTAATTTTTTATATACAATTAGATATTTAAAGAAATTTCTTTTAATATTTGATCTCAATATGAACTCAATTTATAAACCTACGATAGAAGATAGTATATTATTTTTAGATGACTAGAATTCAAATAACTTAATTTATAAATTTATGTGAGTTTATTTAATATTTAATTTTTAAAAAAAATTAATTATTAATAAAAATTATATGATAATTTAAAATTTTCATATGGCGGTCCATGTTCATCCTTATTTGCATGGTTAGGATGCAACTAGATATTTAAAATGTTATATAATTTTTTATTCATACTAATATAATTACACGTGTTTAATTTTAAATATTAAATAAACTTAAATAATTTATAAATTAAATTATTCGAATTCTAAAATTTGAGCAGCGAGTCGCAGTTTAACTTTTAAAAGAAATTTTAAATATAAATTTATATTTGATACGAATAGATTGAATTGAATTCAATTTAATTTGATAATTTAATTTATTATTTATGTATGTATATTGATGTTATCAAATTTTAATTTCTTATGCTATGTTTGGTTGTACAAAAAATAATTCTTTTATTATATAAGTTTATATAAGTTCTCTTTATAGATAAAAATCATTAGTTAACGCACGATTAACGCTTCAAAATAAGAATATTTTTTAACCTAAAATGAAACGATGAGGGTTAAAATTCCACAGAAAAAAGAATAAGGGACCAAGTGATATTCCTGTCAAATGTTATGATATTTTTATCTTAAAATAAAATATTAAGGGTCAAAATTCTCAAAAAAAAAATAGAATCATAGACAAAATGATTATTTTGGTAAACGTTGGGTTCTAATTTTTGCAATATGGCTTCTAAATGATACTAACTATTGTAAAATGAATTTATTGAGCGACTCTAAAAGTATTTGTTTATATTTTTTTCTTAAATATTGACAACGCACACCACCTTATAGAAATAGTTGTTCGAACCTAGGACTTATAGAGAGAACAACATTCTCTCTAACCATCAAGGTCGTTAGATAAGTTCAAATGAAGCAACAAGTTCAACATACTATATTATAAACAATAATATATTCATAAAAATAATTTTTGTACAATTTTTTTAATTATTTTTCATATCGGTTTTACGGTTCATGTTCGAAATTCGTAGATATTCTTTCCAACATTATTGCCTTCGAGATTCGAACATAAAATACAATAAGACTAATGTGGTGGAGTAGTTTGAACCAGTTTCCTAAGGTTTTCGATGATCATAATTACAAGCTTGGTGTTGAGGCGATTCACGAAGAATTTGGGAAGCCATCCTGCTGGATCCAACTGCATGCACGTAATTACAAACAGAATCATATATCACCGTTATCGAGTGTTCTTTATCTATCCGTTTAACGATTTAAACAAAGATTGATCTCGTGAAATCGTTAATATTAATTTACCTGAACAACGTATGTAACAACACATGAGTTTAAATCTTCAAGCTTCTCCACGACCCATCCTGACTGCACCAGTAATCCTCTTATTGCATTGTTTTGCTTCGGAAGCAATCCGGCTGCTATTTCCTTCGGCAGTGATGCCACTGCTACTACCTGCAACGACGAATTCGATTTTTTTATATATATATTCGAGGAATCGTACCGAATATTTCGAGTAATTTTTTTTGTAGAAATTAGTATACCAAAGTGCCATCCTCCATGGTTTCACGGCGTTCGTAAACTATGAATTCTCTTCTTCTGAAGAAAGGCTTTGAGTTTTGTCCGAACTTAAGACGAATAATGCTCAAGTTATCTTCTACATCTTTTATATATCTGGATTCTACCATGTCAGGGTCCCATTGCTGTCCACAAAACAAATGTTAGTTTTGAAGCAATAGTTCTTATGCTCGAGACACGGACGGTTTTATGTTAGTAGGTAAATTTATAAAAAAATTTAGGAGTGACGAAACTTATAAAATTTTAGGTTGAAATTATCAACAAAAAAAACTTCAAATAAAATATCTTATTAAAAAAATATCACCCCCGCCAACCCCTTGGTTCATCCGCTAAATAATTAACTGAATTTGCACAACCATAGGCCATGTCTGATTAATTACTTCCTTCTTAAATAGATTCAAAACATAAAATGGCCTTGAACTTGACAAGTTTAGTTAAAATTCACCTTGGCGGCATCTATAGCATTGGCAACGGTGATGAATTGCTGTGGCGACACAGATCTGAGCAGCCGGCGACTACGGAAGATATGAAGAGATCCCGACCTTCGTTTCGATATCTCCACGCCGTTGTTACGGCTGAGAATCTTCCATCCGTCACCGCCGCGACTTGAATTCTCGGACGAAGCTGACATTAACAACTCCTGCACACAGCTCTCACTTGCAAATTGAACGTATCTTCTCAGTGAGTCCTCGCTGATGGACCTTTTGGCAATCAAAAACACAAAAATGGTAAAACCACAGTTTCAACAACACTGATATGGATCAGAAAGCCTTATGTGCAGTGGGAATATTTATTACCATGATTGGTTGCAAGCTACAGAACCGGCATCCATTGCCATTGAAAGGTAGCTAACACTAGCTAGGCCTCTTTCACTTGTAAGAACTAAAGTAGGAATATATATATATATATATATATATGTACCAAAAACTGATTACAAGGGTATGGTGAAGAGAGCAAAATAATTAGTGGAAGAGGGGGAGCTGTGATGATTGAGGCACATGCGATGCCAGAAGAAGCTCCATGATTGAAACTGCACATCTCCATCTCTGGATATAGATAAAATATAGATTCTTTACTTGAAAAAAAGGAACAAGAAGCAAGGGTAGGGGAGGTGATGCACATGGATTGTTGGGAGCTTTAGGAAAAACCTACAGAGAATAAAGCCATGGAAGCACTAATTAAATTTTTTTTGGGGGGGGGGGGCGGGGTTAACTTGCCTGGTTATATGGATGACAATGGAGTGTATTTAAAACACATCTCATTGAGTCACGAGGGTCCCCAGTCACATGCAACTGCGACGCCACAAGTTTCAAGCTGGCTTTAGACAAAAACATGTGTAGATGGACTTTTGTCCCCAACTTCAGCTAGCTAGGTCCTTCTAAACTAGGACAGTTTGATGCATGTTACTCTTCTCGACAACTGTTGAGGGAAAAACTATGGTTCTAATGGACGTTAGAAGTTCATATCTTTTTATTTAAATTTTGAGAATTGCAGATGATACTTCTATCTAATCGAAGAATAAGATGATATTGATGCACGATGAAGAAGAGAGTTTAAATCCTTTCGCCAATCATATATGATGATTTATATACTTGTCCTTAATATTGTGTTAGACCTAGAGTCATCGTAATTATTTATAAGTTAGCATGTTAAATAATTATGGTTGTTAAATAGTAGATTTAGCTCCGAAAAATCACATGAGTCAACCAATAATCATGTTGGGAGACTGCAATCGTTCGGAAGATATTAGACTCCAGAGATATCTTGTAATTCGGAAAACCTTAATAAACAGAGGACCAACAATGAAGGCGTGATTCACGAAGAAGGACCGGAGGAGGTAGTGCAACTAGGATGGCAACGGGTCGGATCAAGTTGGATTTTTGGGCTAACCTAACTCGACCCGAAAATAGGAACCCTTCATCCCCACTCTAACCGAACCGGGTTTAGAAGGATCCCATCCGACCCTAAACTCGACCCAAAAATTGAAGTCCTCCACCCGCACTAGACTTGATTCAAGTCCTATCTGACCCAAAACTCATCCTTGATTTTTTAGACCAACACCCCACCCAATCTACTTTGATTCAACTTAAATGTATTTATATAGGGTAGTTCTACTATACAACAACTTAATATACGGCTAAAGAAATACGCTACCGAAAATGTTAATATTTTTTTAATATTTCGAGTAAAGCGCTACATAAAAAATTACTGTTTCTACCGGAAATATTAATTTCGCTACCTAATTTTCGGTAGAAAAACCGATAGAAAAAATAACATTTTAGGTAGCGTCTAATATTAACATTTTCGATAGAAAAAAATAATGTTTTAGGTAACACTTTACCAGAAATATTAAAAAAATATTAACATTTCCGATAGTGCATTTTCTTAGTCGTATATTAGTTCTATGGTACCTTAGACATCCCCATTTATATATAAAATTTCATTTTTATTAAATAATGTAGGAATAAGTATTATTATAATTGTTGCACAATTTTATAACTCAACTAAATAAAATGAAAGTTTGAATTCATCTGAATCGGTTTATTTATTATAAAAAACCAGCTCTGACAAGCACGACAAAAGAAACTTGTATAATATTCAAATTAATTTGGCGATAAAACTTGAAGAGTAAACTTATCTTCACCACTTTCATAAATCATTGGAGTATCAAACACTTCTCCTTCGTCGCCGATTGTTCCTTATGACTGTTGACAGTTGTTTTTGCGATAACACATGACTCATGTGACAAAATAGTATCAAGCATACTAGTTTAACATGTTACATCAATTTTATATTATAGGGATAAAAATAATTAACAATTGAGCGATTGATTTATTATAAAATTAATTGATCCTATTCTCATATGTAATGGGGTGAGGGAGAGGCAAGATAGTAGGCTGCCACAACGTCAAGGTTGAGAGCATCTTCCGTTGAAGACTTCCGACAGTCAGAATTATAAATTGTCCACCGTGAGACTCGATCCCACGACCACAAAGTTAAGAGTCTTGCGCTCTTCTAACTGAACTAAAATAATTGACAAAACGATATCAAATAATTTAATTTAATATGTCATATTAATCTCATGTTATTGAGATAAAATCAATTAACGGTTAAATGATTGATTTATTATAAAATGATAATATTAGTCACCGTTTTATTGTTTTTTTAAAACTTTAATGCTAAAACAATAATTTTTCTCTTTTTTTTTTGTACTTTATCCTTTCATTTATTACTCTTATCTTTCTTCTCTTTTCTTTTTTTTTGGTGATTAAGCGATCGAAATTGCTTATGAGAAGTAGACTGGAGATTAAGAAGAAATGGGGAGTTCGTCAAATGATGATTTCTCGGTGGTGGTGCTTGCTTCCGATTTGGGTATAGACGCCCGTCCTTTCTTATCCAACCACGATACTGAAATCGAAGAGCAAGACCACTGGCATGACTGTTCCCAGGATTTCTCCAACGAAGAATTCTCCGACCTTGATTTCCTCCAGTTCTTCCGCCTTCAGGGCTCCGATAAATCAAGTAACCGCATTATACGCATCGTCGGAAAGTACTTTCCCGGTAATTTCATCTAACCCATTTTAATATATAATGTTTTTCTTCTTTAATTTTAATTAGGTTTGAACTTGCTTAAATGAATTAGGTTAATGCATTAGATTCTTGTAACTGACAAGTGCAACTCACCCTCTTAGAAGATAGCTACTTAATCTTATCAAAAGTGAGATGCTTATTGAATCCTACTTAGAACCATCTTGTTTGTAATTTGTAAATCAATTGAACTCTCATATGGGATGAAATTTCATATTTCTTATTATTTGGGATTCTTATAATCCACACGGACATATTAAATTCTTCCACTTGGTTCATGTACGCAAAGGTTTGATTACTGCTAACCAAAACCGCCCAATCATCCAACTCACTCTGTTGGTCAACATAGATGATAAAAAAAACCTTTTCAAGGAAGAAATAGGGTGAAGGGCGATTCTTGTTTAGTGTTCTATCACCTAATTAATCTAACAATTAAATCCTTGTTAATAAACATTGTATTTATATAAGTAGGTACGTTCCAATTAAATTCCTTCTTCAATTTATTTGATGTGACCCATTAGGTTCTTAAGAAGTTAGTAATGAACATATAAATTATATCTAATTCATATTTAAAGATCAAGAGAGACATCTAAGAATTATTCATGGTCATTCAGTTGTTAAAATAAGATAACATGGTTTTGACTAATCATTAAATGTATAGCATGTCAATGTAGTTAAACCCTTTACCAGATATCTGGATTCTGGAGGAGAAAAAAATGTCTTAATGTCTACTTTCTAACTCCTATATTAATCTGGTATCTTATTCGGTAATCTAATGATCACCTTGGTTAAGGACTTACATGAGTTAATCATATTCTAGGAATGAGCTAGAGATAAGTGTTCAAATCACTAAAGTTGATGAATCGTTTTGGATCACTCATATAGCTTTATATGCTTCAGTTCATACGCAAAATCCCCTTGCCGTAAGTATCCTTTTTTTGGAAGCTATTCATATGAAATCAATGCATGACGGTTTTAAATTTTTAATACATGATGATGACTTATTGTCATAAGTCAAATTATTTGAGTTGAACAAATTTTATAGGGTTTCATCAGGTTTAAGTTTTTCTCTAGTAAACTCCGATTAGGTTTTCACAAAGTACTTTCTTAAAGTATGCAGCTCCAGTTGTTAGTGGGGAGCGATTGAAGAGATATATATACCACAAGATATGCAGCGAATTGCCTGAAGGCCCATTCTGCATAGTTTATATGCACAGCACGGTGCAGAAGGAGGATAACTCCCCTGGTGCTGCTATCTTGAGGTGGATTTATGAAGAACTTCCCTCCGAGATCAAGGATAGGCTGCAAGTCATCTACTTTATACACCCTGGGCTTCGTTCAAGGCTTGTCTTTGCCACTTTGGGCCGATTTCTTTTAAGTGGGGGGTAAGTTACCATAATTCAGATTACCAGTGTAGCTATTTAATAAGTTACCTTTAATCAGATGAATATTCTTTTAACTGTTTCTTGAACTTGATAGCAAAGCTTCTTCAACGCATTTTCTTTCTATCAGTTGGACTAGTTGCTAAGCAAACTAGTCATACTGTATAAAATATTTCTTTTCACATTCTTAAAAGTGTCAAACACATTAGATGCAAATCCTTTCTTATTTGATCCTAAAACGTAATAATAGCATGCTCTTAAATAACAGTTGATAGATTAAGCAGCCTTATTGGTCATTCTAGGGGTCATTGTAGATTTGCAACTATTCTGGCCATATTTTTAGTTAATTCCTTCTTTTTCCCCTGTTTATACTGGAAGATCAAGTACATTAGCCGTCTGCAATACCTATGGGATGACATAAAGAAGGGAGAGGTTGAGATCCCTGAATTTGTGCAAAACCATGACAATGTTCTTGAGCACCGGCCGCTAACAGATTATGGCATTGAACCGGATCCTCTCCACTTAACAGAGGTACCAACCACTGCCTACTCATTGGGGAGGTATGAAGAGAGATTAACCTCAAGGGAATTCATGCTATAGTATCGAATTAGACGCAGCTAAAACCACTGAAAGGGTTTTCAGCCTCTAGCCGGTACGAATTATCAGGTAAAACTTAAGAACTGTCTATGTCTTTATATTGCGTTCCTTGCTGTCTTAGAAACCGATACGTTGTACCTGTAATTACTTAAATTCGGCACGTTACGGCTGACACTGATGCATGCATGTATTATATTGCAGCTCTAAAATATCATGGATTGTTTGCACCCTTTATTTTAGCCGGTTTGTTAGTATTTTTGGTTAAACTTATATTGTTGAATTATTGGATTTAACCGACTTGTTCGATTTGTTTTTTTTAATCAGTATTCATCGGCACGTCTAATGCAAATCAAAACTTGATGGTAGAAATATTGTACAGGTCCTCGTATTAGTGCAAATAAGAATTTGATGATAAATGTATAACAACTAAGAATGATTGTTAATTTTATGATGTGGACTAAATTAAATGATGTGGTAAATCAAATTACGACATATTTATCCGATCCAACTTAAAAAATTTGAACTACATTCAAGGGATGAATAGGATATTAAATCGATCAGTTGAAAATTAAAGTTATAATATTTTATAGTGTTCGATATTAAGTTTTTTTAATAGTAAGGTGATTATAAGGTTGTATTTGTTCATATTTTTTTAACCTATGTATAACATGCGCATAGTTTACCGATATAGTTGTCCAAATTCAAGACATTTGGGGAGATAAATATTTTCTTTTACAACTAAAGTTACTTGATGAATTCAAAACACACCCATAACAAAATTTCTACAAATATCAAGAATTCAATATACATTCAAGTAGATAAAAGAGACAATAACTGAGTTAAACCTAATATCAAATTATTATTTTAGCTCATATTATTTTTGGAATATTTTATTTCCATCGTTTCAATTTTTGATTAAAATAATCTCTGTTATTAAAATAATTAATTGATTAACTATTAACACGTATTACTAATCTGATATTTTATATATTTTTAATTATAAATATGTTATTAAAGTGGTGACGTGATATGTGTTATGTCACTTAAAATAACAGTGTGTCATATCATTTAAAATAATGATAAAACATATTACGTCACTCCAAGTGATGATGTGATATATAATATGATATTTAAAATAATGATATAATATATTTTACATCATTAATTAAACATATATAAAAATATTACATCAAGTATTTATATCAATAATTAATCACTTAATAATTTTTATTCAATAATGATAAATTTAAATTTAAATGAAAATATTAAAATTAAAACGAATATTTGTGCTGGAGTTTATTTTATCATTATGCGGATAAAAATCCATGCATCACCCTCGATAGACTGGTGTCTTGTATAGATGTGACTTGTCGGTCCCTTCGTCGGTTACTAGATTCAAGGCTGACTTTTTTCTCTCGTCTTTTTCGTTTCTCTGCTTGAATTTTTCCCTAACCAATCCGTGGTTTTCAATGGCTGGCTTATTTACTTAGTCTTTGAGGCCCATTCCGTTAGTCTTTCATTGAGCTTGTTATTGTCTTTGGAGATTTGCTGGTGACCCATTACTCTTTTTTGTCGAATGAGAGAAATCTTCTCCGATGGAGTTTTCTTTTTGTCATTTTTCCTGCATGTTTCGACTGACGGATGCTTCTGTTATTTCTCTTTTTGTTGTTCAAAATTTATGTTATTCTTGTGTTTTGTAGGATTTCTCGATTGGTTCTTAATCCATTTTCTGTTGTTTAATTTTTTCTCTAAATTATGTTAATTATTTACCTTGTATTAAGGTCGTTGAAGATTTTACAAAAATAAATCCATCAATTATATTTAAGGGCTGAACTTTTCTAAATCTTTCATTTAGGTCCCCAACATTTGAAACTTGCAATACAGTCTCCAAACATTTAGTCCGTTTGCAATACAGTTCCTCAACATTTAGTCCGTTTACAATATGACCACCGACGTAACCGGCCGTTTGACGCCGTTACACTGTCGTTAGTAATATGGTCACTGAACTTTTCAGGCGCTTGCATTTAGGTCCCCCAACTTTTAAAACTTGCAACATAGTCCTTAATTTCATTCTAAACCCCAAATTCATTTTCGATCTCGAATTTCTTTTTTTGCTCATCTCTTCTCATTTCCAACGTAACTTTTCAATCGGGGGTGCATGAGAAATTCTAATCTAACTTTGAATTATGTGGAAGTTTTGGCTTGAATAAGGGTCCATTGAGAGAATACCCGACAAGGGACTATCTAAACCATCAACGATTCAAGTTGTAATGTTAGATACATGTCATCTCAGGTGAAGCATAGATGTTTGATGAAATGCTTGTGAGAAAAAACGGGGTTAGAAATGCATAGTTGACAAATACTACTAAGATGAACTAAGTATCATTGTTGAAAGTCACCAACAAAGCTGGAATTATTTTGTATAAATGACATATAATAATTTCTTCGTTTAATCCTTGTGGTTAAACATTTTCCAACAGATGATCAAATATAATGAAATCCCAAACAGCGCATTCAACTCTCAGTCTCTTTTGCAACTCGAAAGACATCATTACAGGGTCAAGTAGCTGCTCCAAATATACTACCATGTCATAATGTCTTTAGAGTTGCATGCATGCAGAATTGTCTTCTAAAGCTATAATTCAACACAATTCAACTGTAAATTTTTTAAAAACATGTAAAAAAAAACCAATTCGTTCACGATATATCAGTCTTATAATCAACATGAACTTATTAAAAAGAATACGAGCTCACGGGACGCTGAAAACCGCAAGTCGGATCAATACAATTCCTAGTAAATTAGTACCAACAGTCTCTCGAATTGAGCCTAGCGATTTTACTATGTCTATACTCACAACCAATTCCTTAATTTAAAGAAAAACCAAACAAGAATATAAAAAAAAAAAAAATTAGCCTAGGACCCTATTTGACTTCTATTATGATGGACTGAATATCTTTCATAAGGAGTACTAAAAGTTTTGATTAAAAAGAAAGAAAATTAGATAGTTTTGGTTCAAAACTAACACTGAATATCTAGATCATTGACATGCAGTTCCATAAACATAAAAATTTCAATAAAAAACACACAATGCGAGTTGAAAATGAGAAAATGCGAAAGAGGAAAAGCTTACTCCTGGATAGCCCAAAAGAGAAAATAAATATCTTCTTGTAAGTGAGTGGAGAGGCTAAGAAATAAACGCAATCGGTGTTGCGTTCCAGCAATTCTTCCTCCATTTTTTATTTGTAAATAAAAAGCTGAAAGACAGAGCACTGCTTGGGTTTACAATTTTATATGGCAGAAAATTGAAGAACAAAAACCAAACGAGAGTGCATGTGAGCGAAAGAGACTGAGAGGTGAATGCGCTGTTTGGGATTTCATTATATTTGATCATCTGTTGGAAAATCTTTAACCACAAGGATTAAACGAAGAAATTATTATATGCTATTTATACAAAATAATTCTAGCTTGTGCAAGGGCAGCATAGATAAAGAACTCTTATGAGAGAAAGAGAAGAGAGGAGAGTGAAAGGGGCAGCATAGATAAAGAACTCTTATGAGGGGATACTAATTTGGTATCCCCATGCCGCATTGTTCTGGGCAGAGCTAAATTAGTTGGCCCCTGCTGTGCCAAAGGATGCAAGAGCCTGATCTTGGTCCACTTGGATGTGGGAATGTAGGGATAAAGAAGGAAAAAAATATAGAAAGAAGGTTTATGGGGTTTTGAGCTTTCAGTAGGAAGAAAATGTGGTTTTGTGCTTGGGTTTTTTCACTTTATCAAATCTTTTTAGTTGATAGAATTATAGCTGAAGTGCTCATGTTCAAATGCTTTTCAGTAGAACTTTGCTTAGGTGATGCAGAACATTTATTAAAAAAATACAGCCTTTTTGCCTAATGTTTTTAACTGGAAGTACTGTTGATATTAATAATTTAGACAATGTCCTTTAATATATCTTTTCCTGTTTTCTTATGGCAGTCTGATGCTGAAGTTCATATACATTGGAAGGGAGCAGCTGAGATAGTTTTGGCTGCATGTTCTGGATATCTTGATTCAAATGGTTGCCTGCAATCCATTAATGAAGACAAGGTTAGTGACTATGTGTATTTATACACACAATAACAGGCATGCACTACTGGAAGGTCTTCTGGGTAAAATATTAAGGGAATTTCCTTCTCATTTGAGCCGCATAATTAGCTTTAGCTTTCAAGTCCTTTTAGTTTTACCATTTGTAAGTTGACTCAGCGCTTTAGTAATAAGTATCTGATTTTATGCAGACTGATCATTGATTTAGGGAAACCATGTGAACACCTATGTTTTAACTTAATGGTTGTTCATTAGAAACTAGACCTCTTGTTTAATACATTAGGAAAGAAAAGGTTGTTTCTTACCAGAAATAAATTGCTCACTTTATATCAAGTCTACAACTTAGTATTGCATGATTGAAAAATGGACTTCATTGCCCTTTAAACTATATTCATCATTGTTTTATATATAATTATACTGGTTTGGGTATTTGCATACAACAATTTTTAAGGTTGTTTCTGATTCCTAAATCCTAGTATGATTTGATCGGTAGACGCTTCAACTTTTATGTTTAACTACCTTTCTGCAGAAATTTTTTGAGGCTGCTATTGACGAAATGGCTGCAAGTAGCCTGCGCTGCGTTGCCCTTGCATACAGATTGTGTGAACAGGAAAAAGTTCCTAGTGATGAAGAAAGCTGTAGTGATTGGGTCTTACCTGAAGATAATCTTGTTTTGCTTGCTATTGTTGGTATAAAGGTAAACATTTTTAGCACGAGTTTCCCACTTTTACCTAATGGTATTTCCACATTAATGGTTGTTAGTCTATTAATAGCTTGACTATCTTTTTTAGCTTTGACTTTATGTTTGATGCTATTGAATTTATGCAAAGATGTCTGACTGATAATGTGAAGCTTTGCTTCTGAATGGAAGATGCTTCTCCGTCCCAAATTAAGTGCAAAATATTTCACTAAACAAAGTGTTACATGCATGCACATTCAAGCAAGTAGATCTGTCATTGGAAAAAAAAATTCATTGAAGTTTACCTTGGTAGATTAATTCTACCACAAATAGGAAAATTTGGCAATGGTCTACTATTTAACCTATATACCATGACATTTCTCCTTCCACCACAATCCCTCTATTCATAACACTATAGTGTCATTCTTTTTGTGCATGTTGGAACTTAGGAGTGCCATTAATGATCATCTTATCATGTGTACTTTGTGTCTTACAATGATTTCATTTTTTATCTTCTAATTATTAATTATGTTCTTGTCACAATGCTAGTAGTAGTACACTAAAAAAGTTATTGTTCCAACTTTTGTCGTTATAAATAACTTACTGACTCACAATGGTCTAACGTTGATATGAAAGAAAGCTTACATCCCCTTTCATATAGGTCCTCCAGTTTGATGAGAAATATGCCAAAATATAAATGGAGGGATGTCTGCTATTAGGTTATAATCATATATTAAGAAAGGTGGATTTTCTTGTACATATTAAAAGAATGCTTTTTATACAGGTGAACTATGCTCTTCCTTTTACTTATAATTACTAGTGTGGATACATTGTTCAAATTTGATGTTTTTTTTGTTGCCAAAATTCTAGTGTTCATATTTCTCCGTAGACAAAGACAGTTTGGAGTTGTTTCCTTGGTTTTTATGTTCCATTGAGCAAAAGTGGTCTTTGGGGGAGTTTCCATTTTGTTCAATTATTTGAATTAATCATGAATATTCCTGTTTTATCTTGAGCTAGATTTCTGTGCAATGTGCAACTGCTACCTCTATTAGCTAATATAGTTTCTCACCTGCAGGATCCTTGTCGCCCAGGTGTTAAAGATGCTGTGAAAATATGTATGGATGCTGGTGTTAAGGTAATTTTGATGGTTTCATAAGATTTGCTTTAGAAGCTTTTATACCCTTTGTGCGTAAATGCTACTTTTACAGAGTTCATATTGAATGGTCAAGTTTTCCTTTATTTTCAAAGGTTTTTAATTACTATGATTTAGAGCTAATACTTTTAATTTTTTATGAATGATAATGCTTTATGAAAACTACACACTTATATATATGACCTAAAAATTTTAATCTTTAGGTACGCATGGTCACTGGAGACAATATCCAAACGGCAAAAGCAATTGCTTTGGAGTGCGGGATTCTTAGTTCTGCAAAAGATGTTACTGAGCCTACCATCATCGAAGGAAGGGTGTTCAGAGCCTTACCTGAAAAGGAAAGAGAACAAAAGGCCAAGAAAATAACGGTATCTATTGATTACATTACTTGATTATATTGCCTTTGGATCCTGATATTATTCTCAAGCGTCCAAACATATTTTGTTGTTTCAAGAATGAAAGAGTAGTTAATGGGGAGTTTTATGCAGGTAATGGGGAGATCTTCTCCAAATGACAAGCTTTTGCTTGTTGAGGCCTTGCGTAAGGGAGGGGATGTTGTAGCTGTGACTGGAGATGGTACCAATGATGCTCCTGCGCTTCATGAGGTTTGTTTTTGTGGTTAATTTCATTAGATTCATTTATTTTTCTTGTGATGATAATGCTTTACGATGCATATTATATGCGGTAAACATTGGCTTAAGAGTGTTTGATAAACCATTGAAAGTTAAGATTTTGAATGGTTTTATTTTTTCTATTGTGTTCGATAATTTTTGTATGAACTACTTGATGGAAGATTCTCAAACAATAAGTGCTGAACTGATTAGTAGCTTTTGCTAGCACATTAAGTAAATTTAAGGAGTTTTTTAATACAATAATGTTATATTCTTTCCTTTTTAACTTATATAAATTGAAAATAATTATAAACCATATTTCTAATTCATAAAAGATAAAAAAAAATCTAATAAACGTGTAATTTTCAATAGCATACCAAATACCTTTAGGACACAAATTCATTACCTAATTTGTCATCATTGAATTTGTTCAGTTATCAACAGTATCTTGGTATCTATGTGTATGCTTAATATACTTGCATATACACTATGGTTTTCATTACAAACTTTCTAATGTAAAAACTGTGATTGCCAGTGAGTCACGGAATTGAAATTGTGAGATTGCCATGTGAACTATGATAGACAATTTACCTTCCGTTCAGGCAGCTTTATTCTGAAATCTGATAAATCCCACCCTCTGCCTCTTGTACTGATTGACTACATGTGTTCCATATCTTAATTTTCTAATCTCCCCAGTTTTTGCATTTTTACTTTTTCTGTATTTTAGGCGGATATAGGTCTGTCTATGGGCATTCAAGGGACAGAAGTTGCAAAAGAAAGTTCAGATATCATTATATTGGACGATTATTTTTCTTCAGTTGTGAAGGTTAGCATGCTTGTTTCATTCTTTCACATGGATATTATTGTTTCCATTTTTACAATATCTACTGCTGCTGAATTTGAGGGAAGGCTCATATCAAATTTCCAACATTGTAGCTCAGCTTTGTATCCCATGTAGGTTGTTCGCTGGGGTCGTTCTGTGTATGCCAATATTCAGAAGTTCATACAATTCCAGCTTACTGTGAATGTTGCAGCTCTTGTGATCAATGTCGTGGCAGCAATATCTTCCGGTGATGTTCCTTTAAATTCAGTACAGGTACTGCTCTTTCTCTACTCCTAATTTAATTTGACTATGGTAAAAAAAAGTTTACCTTAATAAGTGCACTCTAATTTTCTTAAAAGAGAAACAAATAATAAATTGTTGAAATTCCCGAAATTACATGACTTGTTACCTTAGAAATTTGGTTTTCTGGTTTAACTGTTTGAAGGAGTGTTGAAAGTTATGCTATTCATGGTAGGACCACAGTATCATCATAGAGGGTATGAATAATCTATGGATTTCATTTGTTATGTGCCCATAGATGGGTTGGTTCTGTAGTTAACCGGAATCTGGTATGTCTCAGTAGTTGTTATGGGACTGGGTATTCTGTTTAGTCAGTGTTGTTAAAATGGGGATAAGTTATTCAGTGGTCAAACTAAGGAGCTGTGTACATTGAAACATCCCTTTATGGTGACAAAAAAATTTAATGAGAGTTCTTTTGCTACAGTTACTATGGGTTAACCTGATCATGGATACTCTTGGAGCACTTGCATTGGCCACTGAACCTCCAACAGACAACCTTATGCATAGGTCACCGGTTGGCCGAAGGTTTGAATCCTTTTCTCATGTGAAAATTTTGTGTACTTTGAATCATAGCACTCTAGTTCTGTGTATTGGTTTTTAGAAATGGCTGAATGTACCTTATGTAATTGATATTTAATTGATTTGTCAAATTGATCTAAATGTTTTTTTTTCCAGAGAACCTCTAATTACAAACATCATGTGGAGGAACTTACTAATACAGGTACCTGTTTTCTTGGGTCCTTGCCATATGATTTTCACCTGTTGACATTTTACTTGTCTTGGCTTGTGTTTTGCAATTTTATTTGACTGAGAATTGTTAACCCAGACCAAAGTCTGGGAATATAGCACCATGGTTCTACGTCTTGTAATGTTTTCGCATTTCATTTCAGGCTTTATATCAAGTTACTGTCCTCCTTGTGCTCAACTTCTGGGGCTTGACCGTTCTTGGTTTGGAGGATGACTGTGACAGGGAACATGCTTATAAAGTGAAGAATTCTTTGATATTCAATGCGTTTGTCATGTGTCAAGTAAGTGCCTGGTGACAAGTTGAGATTCTGGGGTCTATTTTATATTTTTTTAACAATTGGCATAAAGCTGAAGCTTGGTAATTGTTCAAATCACAGATATTCAACGAGTTTAATGCTAGAAAGCCTGAAGAAATCAATTGCTTCAAAGGAGTGACTAAAAACCACCTATTTATGGGAATAATCGGATTTACTCTCACACTTCAGGTGAGCTAATCTTACCCTTTTTCACTTTCTTCAGGGTCTTGTTCTGCTTTCTTTGTGGTCGTCATTTTTACTTGGTCTACTTATAGTACTATTTCGTAGATAATCATCATCGAGTTCCTTGGAAAATTTACCTCAACGGTGAGACTCGATTGGCAGCCGTGGCTTGTATCCGTTGGCATTGGCATTATCAGGTAGGGTCTCTCGCTCTCATTGCGTTTAGCCTCCAAATACCTTCATAGTTTTTGTTGGTATTACTATTTACTTGTAATGCTAGTTGGTGTAGTCAAACACAAAGAGCAGGTAGTAGTTAACTGCCAAGCCTTAAAAACAGTTCGATACGAACTTATCGGCCAAAAGAGAACAAATCATATAATTATATATATATTTATAACCTTCATCGACTGCTATTATCCTTTTGAAGCTGACCTCTTGCAATTGTGGGGAAGCTGATTCCAGTTCCCAAGACTCTGGTTTCGACATTCTTCGTAAAGCCATTTCGACAATGCAGAAGGCCGAGGGATGCATGAACATGGTATCTGTTGTTCCTTGCAATCTAAGAAACTGCTAAACCTTGTATATATAAAGGATAGTGAAAGAGCAGGGCAGTTGCTTACATCCATTTTTTCCTCTAAAAGGCAACTATGATGCTTTGCCTGTGTTGATATTTAAGGCGGCTGATTCTAAAACATAATTCATGTATTTTATTACTACAAGGCTTCCATGTTACATCAATCAAAATGAGTTCAACGAGTTTGGTTTCTTTTATATTAAAAAGTAAATAAGAATGATTCGAGTTTAAGCTATTTGATTATATGTGAAATTATTCGATAACCGAACCATAATTAATTATTTTTATAAACAAAAAATATAATTGTTAAAAGTTTTATAAATTCTCTCTAAAAGGTTGTATAAAATAAGGATAATTGATTATATTTATTATCATTTTTTTAAAGGTAAACAATTTTATTAATATAAAAGATTATTAAAATATTTTACAAATTGATTTAATTTTCCGCCGAGAATCGATTTTGAGAAGGGGTTTTTTTTTATTAACTGATATCATTTTTTTAATTTGTTTATTTATATAATTCATTATTTTAACCCTTAGAAAACTCTTTATCAATTCAATCTAACTCTTCAACCAGTCTAGCTCCATTGCCTTCCTGCCATAACAAAAACGCATATGCATTCCACCAACATTAAGTTGAGTTGATCTAGTGGGATGAGCATTAAATTTCTTAAGCAAAGTTAAGATTCGAATTCTGACGTTTGTGAATAGAACAAATTGGATTAAAAATATTATTTTCATAATAGGCCTCTCTGAATTAGTCAGTCAATAAATTAGATACAAGTGATTAATTAAAAAAAATGTAAAAGCATTCCAAGCAACTCTCATTAGTGGCAGATTTATGCTCACATGATTGTGGGAATGTATTTGAATTTTATTGATTGTGTTCACTTTTTGAATTTTATTTGTATTCATTATATATAAAAAAAATTATATTATTAACACGTGTTTATCTTAAAAAAATTAGATCCGCACTGAACAAATGCATCCCCATTATTTTTAAAAAATATAAAAATAAATTTAATATGTTAATGAGATAAGAAAAAAAAATGTATATCCATTTAAAAAAATAAGGATATTAAAATTTTGGATCTTATTTTTTAATTTCTAGATTAACTGTGGTAAAGAGTAGTCAGTTTTTAAATAACTTTTGTAGGTAGAAACAAATTATTATTATAAAAATTATGTTTCTACTTATTTTGATTAGAAAATTTTATACATTTAAAATAATATATATATAATTTAAATGCTTAATTTTTAATTAATCCCATAAAATATAAATACGTGTGGTGGTTGAGTTTGGCGGTTGTCCGTCCTTATACACAAGAAGAAGAAGAAGAAAAACAAGACAAGAGGATGGGGGGAAATTGAGCGTTGACTTTTGAATTCGCCATAATCAACAGATAATATGGTACAATCTTCTCTGTTCATATAGCCCTGTTCCATTAATATGATGATACTGTTCTGAATCAACAATAAAAATGGTGCATCAACATTAACAGGCGCAGCAACAGAACAAACTCAAGCTCTATTCTCACTGGATAAGCTCCTGCTCCTGTCGCATAAGAATCGTCCTTAATCTCAAAGGTATATTTCCTTTATTCTTCTATTAATCCATCTTAATCTATTACTAATCACTAATTAGTCTTGGTTTCTGGGTTTTCTCTTTGGCAGGTCTGGAATACCAGTACATACCCGTTAACTTGCGTAAGGGGGAGCACTTGAGTCCTGGTCAGGATTCTTCTTTTTAAAATTTTCTGGGTTTACTCATTTGTTTCCAATTCATTGATGATTGAAATTTAAAAACATTGTTGAAACTTGGGAAATGGGTAGACTTCCAAAAGCTGAATCCTATTGGGTATGTACCGGTGCTGGTGGACTGTGACGACGTCATTTCAGATTCTTTTGCAATTTTCATGGTCATTTTTCAGTTTCCCCCTTGTTCTTTTCGTTCAATTCATTTCTATTGCATTCACTACTTGGCTTGATTTGTTTGATTTTAATAATTGAGAAATTAAACCTACAATATCTGGAGGAGAAATACCCTCAAATCCCCTTATTGCCATCTGATCTTCATAAGAAGGCACTTAATATCCAGGTCTCTGCTTTCCTCCATTCTTTTTGTTTATGTTTCTTGATCAACTTTGCTTTGGATGTTTAGTTACTAAGTTATGCTACACTAATGAGTACTCTCGCATCTTCTATAGGTCGCAAATATCGTTTGCTCGAGCATTCAGCCTCTTCAGAATCGAGCTGTGCTGGTCTGTCTCCGAGTGAATTTGTCTCTTTTATGCATTCATTTCGCTTTTAATGGGATCATTGAAATATATAAGGATTGTGTTTGGTTTGCTGCTTTTACCTTTACAGAATTGCATTGAGGAAAAAGTAGGTCCGGATGAGAAAATTCCTTGGGCAAAATTTCATATAGAGAAAGGCTTTGGAGGTAAGTAATGAGTCAAGGCGTCATCCGAATTACTATACTACTAAGATTAAGTGCCGTGAGTGTTTCCTCTGATGGATTTAGGCATTTAATTTGATTAATGCTTCTTTGTTGCAGCGCTTGAGAAGCTGTTAAAAGATCATGCTGGAAGATATGTGACCGGAGACGAAGTTTCCATGGTTTGTTTCGTTCTCTAATGTTTATCTATGCAATTTCATGATCAAAGCACATGGTAAATCATGCACAAAGGAGCATATGTTTCAGAGTTTGGGAAGGCTTATATATTTGTTGCGGGATGCAGATGAAAGTATTTCTGATATCACTTCGAATGAATGTGGTTTGATTGATAGTTCTGGTGAAAACTGCTGCAGTTTCCTGCAGTAATATGTGATGTGGAAAATGTAAATCAGGCATCACCAAGATGCAGCTCTGCCCCTGAACTACATACGCCTTTGGAATTTTAGATGCAAATGAGTTAGCCATTGGTCTAACTTCTGTTCTTAGTTAATATCACCTTCAGTTACGTGTTACGATGCCTGAAATGTACGAAATTATATAATTAAGTTAGAACACTCTAAATATATACATGTATGTATACATAAGTATGGCCTGTTGAATTTCTTTGCAGGCAGATGCGTTTCTAGCACCGCAGATTGATGCTGGGATAAAGCGATTCAATGTCGACATGGTAATCCACTCTCTTCCATGAACTACTTGTTTCTGCATCTAAATTGTGCTTGTTCATTTTGGCTCAATTGAAGTTGCCATACTTCACACACGCATGTATTCTTGACTTTTCTATTTGCTCCTATGCTTCAGAAAGTTTTGCAAGTTAGAGGGAGAAATATTGCTTCATATATCACCATTTTCTTTCTTGATCACATGGCTGATCTTTTCCTTTTATTTTGTAGGCTAGATTCCCTATTTTAACTCGGTTGAATGAGGCATATAGTGTGCTACCGGAATTCCAAAAGGCCATGCCGGAGAATCAGCCAGATGCTCCTACGGCATAGGGCGGTTGTTAAGATGGTGGCTACTACTGAATGGTGTCCGGAAGCGTAGAACAAGGGCTCTGGGCTCTTTATTTCATTCAGAACGATGATATAATAAGGATTATGTACTCCAGAAGCATTATATATATCCAAATTAAATTTGAGTCATACCGAATTAAATTTGAGTCGCCTCAATTGTTAAAGGGAGTGTTGTTCTCCCTGGATTCGAGCAGTTAGGTCGGTCAAACTTGTGCGATATAAATTATAAATAATTACACTATCAATCAAACATGCATAGAAAATTATCATTGGTCCATTAATTACTATATAATAATTGTATTTTCTTATAATTGCTTTGTACCGCCGGATAACACCCTTTTTATTCAATTTTAAACTACTCTTTCATGGTTACTTTAAACAACAAAAATTTACATGTGAGTAATGTCTTGTTATTTTAAATTGTTTCTTGTTTAAACATAATCAAATAAATAAATTCTAATAAAATGTTAAGTTACACATTGTATATTCATCTGGAATTATTTAAACTATTATTTTATTTTATACTACAAAAAAATATAATTAATCAAATAAAAGTAATTAATATATACAAAAGGACAAGTTTGAAAAATAAATAAATCAATATAAAACAAATCCAAGCGCAAGTATAATTTTATGCTCACAGTAGATGATAAGATAAATGTGATAAGATAAATTATTTTCTTTCAACTCATCATGTGGATAGCAAATCTAATAATTTATTGATTCGTTTGTTTTTACTTATTAATTTAGTGGGGTGAGAGATCAAATCCTTCGAATAATATCATACTTTAAATCTTAACATTGTAATGGAACAAACTGGATTAAAATTGTAATCATGTAATATATCTTAGTAGTATATGAATATGGACTAATTAATCAATAGATAAGTATCAATTATTTATACTAAAATTATTATGTTTGACTTTATTTTATAATAATTCATATTTAAAATCAAATATTGAATTATCTTTGTAAAAAAAAATATCTAAATTATTATAAGTTTTTCTTCTCCAAACTTCCTCTTTCTCTTTTATTTTTGGTTGACAAACAACAGAGTACCAGTTTTAGTGTTGATTATCGTTGTCAATGTTTCTTTATTTTTTATTTCGTGTCTTTATTTTTCTTTTGTTTTTAATAAATATGTCTTTATGACATGATTTTCTTTACTTTATGACACGTTTTTTTTAGCTTTTTGGCACAATTTTTTTTGTTTTCTTTCTAGGTCATTTGGCTATTCTTGTCGTTTATTTTTTTTATGTTGGATTTGACATTATCACGACTAATCAAGATGGCTTGCTCATTTGTTATCTCGTTGATCTTCCCTATTTTGGACCTTGAATTGGATTTGAATACGCAATCTGCGTTCGTAGATAATTTTCTCACGATACTTGACTTTGATTTATGTTTTATTGGTGGTGTTTCAATAGTTTAATTTCTTATCATAATTCGTTTGTCGTAATAGTCAGATCTTTTCGTATCATCTATGTTCGAGTTTTTTATATGAGTTTTTCATGTTTTCCTTTTTTGGTCATTGTATGATCTTAAGTGATTAATTTTGTCTTAATTATTATAATAGAATATCCTAATTATGTGTTTAGTTTACAATTCAAATTATAAACCCTTATTATAATTTTAGATATTTTTTATTTCTTAATAAAATTAGCTACTTCTATTCTTTAAAAAAAATACTATAATAACAATCTTAGCACGAGTTTCTTTCAAGTCTCACACTAATTAATCCATTCAACCACTAAGGGTTAAGATTTAACTAAAGTTATGAGTTTCAAAATCTTAGGAATGCAATAACAGTACACCTGACAACATAATTTTACTTGTTTTAGGGCTGTTTGTTTGGCTTTGAATGAAATCATTCAGCGTTGAATGCTGAACCATTCAACATTCAGACTGTTTGTTTCTCACCTCTGAATGATTCAGTGATGACTGATTCAGCAAAACAGTGCTGAATGATTCAGCACAAAAGTACATTTTGAATGATTCAGAGCCATTATCAAACAGCATGTCACATTCAGAGTTAATTCATATAGAATCTCTGAATCATTCGATATTTGAATCATTCAGCGCTTAATCATTCTGAAATAAACAAACATCCCCTTAATTTCTTTTATGTTCTAATCATCTCGAAAAGATTAATCTTTATTTAAATTTTTAGATAGATAATCAAGAAAAAATAAAAGAAAAATCCTTCCAAAAGAAGTGTGACAGTATATAACTGGGCTAAACTCTCGAGATAACGTTCTCGAATAAATTAATTCACGAGATAATGCACTCCTCAGATTAATTGCTCAAATAGGGTGAAATCTACAGTGTTGGTCGTAGGTCGCCATGCCATCCGGGCGACCTACTAGGTCGCCATGTCCTCCCGGCGAGCTATGAGAGAGATTGCATGTGTCATGCACGTTCCAACACGTTGGGCATCCGAAGCCATCCGACCGAGGGCATCCGACCAAGGCCATTCGAGCGAGCTATGCGAGGGCATCCGAGGGCAAGAGGAATCACGCGAGGAGCAGGAGGAGTGCATGGCGACCTACAAGGTCGCCAGGAGTGCATGGCGACCTACAAGGTCGCCCGGAGTGCATGGCGACCTATGCTGGGAAGCTGGCACGCCGTAGGTCGCCCGGAAGGCATGGCGACCTACGGCCAACACTGTGCAATTCAGCAATTAATCTTGAGAGTACGTTATATCGTTAAATAAAAAATTCGAGAACATTATCTCGAAAATTTTGCCATATAACTGAGCATTCACCCACAACAAAGGCATGGATGTACGATATTGTGTGATCACAGGGGATGTTGGGTTGTCAGCATTTGGATTAGCTACCCCACGACACTTTTAATTACCTTCATCATTCTCTTCTCTACAGTATATTTCAGCCTCAATTAGCCCCCCATCCAACAGTCTTCAAGATTAAACAAACCTTGTTTTGACAAAAGAAACTAAGCTGGATTCTGGAAATACATCTTCAAAATCCAACACTATAAGTGATCACTCAAGTGTTAAAACAAAATGTATTCCTTCCTTCAGTTGAGTTCCTAGTACATCTAGCTAAACAGCAGCAAGAAATAATTACTCTAAAGGAATCAAACAGCATCTACAAATCAGTAGCAATACATATAGTATATCTATATGTAGCAGCACGACAGCGGGGACTACTTGAAAGGGTTGTTATACTCCCTGTTAGCTTCTGGGATTGGATTCCACTCCCACAGCCGGTCTGAGAAGGCTGTCGGACTCGGAAGTGCGGCGGGTAGCACGTTTAGAGAAAGCTGTTGAGGCAATGTCAAGAACTCCGGTTGTTGTTGTTGCTGATGATGGAGATGGAGATGGGGATTAGGTTGATTTGTAGTGTCGTATTGATGCTGGTTCAATGTAGGTTGTTGGAAGCTTACTAGCCGGTGGAGATCATCGACGACTACGTTGGGCGAGACAGAAGAAGGGACTAATGGAAATACAGTTGTGGGGTTGGGGAGTAAAGAGCAGCGGCCTTGCTTGGACTGGTTTAAGAACATTCCTTCACCTTCAATTCCGGACGGTAATCCAAGTGTTGTGCTGATAGGAGGAGGAGCCATAGGACGGTACACATCTTGTTTCGAAAGTCCCAGAGCTGTTGTGACATGGGAAGTACTAGTACTACTGCTTCCTTCCGTTTCACTTACCTTTTCCGTGGAGAGTTGTCCTCTCGAGGAGTCCGATGGCCGCCTCGGAAGACAACGGGGGAGCGACAGGTGGTCTTCGACTCCGGCTCTCTTGTACACCCGGCAAAGCGATATCTCGGCCTGAATTAAATGTTTTCGGAGATTAAGCATCGGTTAGGGTCATGATACTCGTGAATGGAAGTAATAGTGGTATTGAATACATGTACGGGTCCTTATTGAATCCAAAGTTCATGCAAATATAGTAAAGAAATCAGTTAACAACAACAAGATAGTTTAGTATTATCTTATCCTTCTGTCTTGCTCCAAAAGGATTACAACCTTGCAATTATTGATTTCCTGGACGTATCCCAGATGATTACTAAACCTGAAACTTTTGGAACTTGGAAAAGTATTTTTAGACATTTGAATTTTCCAAAACAGAAATTAGGGTTTCGTGAAAGAAGAGCGAATCTTTTATATGCATCAAATGTAAATCTTTCTTATAATTCGAATATACCTTTCGGTAACGTTGGGTTTCGTGGTGAGGCAGGCGATACTCGTTCATAATCCAACTGGTTCGGATTCCTTTCGGAGCTTTTCCAGAGTAGAAGACTAGGGTTTTCTTGAGACCAATCGATCGAGAGTTCTCGCCTCGAATCATGCGGTCCGCTCCGGTTGCCTTCCAGTAACCGGATGTCGTGACACGATTCGGTCGGTCACCGTTTCGGTACTTCCGGTCCCTTGGCACATAGAAGAACCATTCTTTCTCCCCAATCGCAGCCAAGGCTGTGATTCCCCCCCCCCCCCCGCCCAAGAATTCAAACACACACACAAAAGATAAAAAAAATGAATCACTATGATTGTTGGAGCTACATATATGTGTGTGTGCATATATCGCTGTATCATGTATGTAACTATGTATGTGTGATAGAGAAAAGAATTAAGGAAAGAAATTCAAGAGGCGACCAAAGGGGATTGTTGAAGAAAGATACAGAAAATATATCAGAAGGATTTGCAGTTTTACCAGGAAGCTCCCAAGGGTCATAGCGATATAGATCAAGGAAAGTAATGAGCTCGACATTAAAACGCTTGCCCTCCACCTTACGGCGAAGGTAGAACTCTACGAGTTCTTCCTCGGTAGGGTGGAACCGAAAACCAGGCATGACCATGTCGTGCTCGTGTTCATCCTTGCTGCTGAGGTTATGGTTGCGGCCGTCGACGACGTTGATATTGGTATTATTATCGTTGGGGTCGTTGCTCATGATTGCTGCTAATTCCGGTATTACTATTGCCATAAACTAATTAAGCATCAAACTATGGACTCATAATATATATCAGCTCCGAGGTCTTTGGTATTGGCCTCAAATGGAGTATTAGTGCAAGTGGTAGGTTAAAATGGAGGAGGAGAGAAGGAGAAGAAGAAGAAGAATGAGGAAAATGAAAAAAGAGAGGAAATTTAGAGTTAAAAAGATCTACATAGCTTTCAGGCCCTACGCTTCGTCTACAAGGTGATTAAGATGAGACAATGACATGTCAAAAAGACGACAGGTTGTCCAAACCACCATTAGAGCCTTCCGATGCCCTTGGACCTTTCTTCCTCCCCACCATTGAATTTCTATTTTCTTTGATTTCCCCCTATTTATTAAATAATTTAATTAGATTCATTACCACTTCCTTGTTTTGTATATTTAGCTCATTTTTAAATGAAACGCATTTGTTACACTTTGTAAAGATAAGATATACATTTTATATAAAAGTAGAGGTTATAAAGTTTATAAATAGTGGTTATGTACATTTTATCAAATATATTTTTTAGAATAGTATAATAATCTCGTGACAAGTGATATCAGAATGACCATTTTTTTTATAGGATTTGTAGGCCTCGTTAAAAACCTCCTTCTTGATTAAAGGAGCTTGTAGAAAAGCTCCTTAATCAACGGAAGGAGGAAAAAAGTGCCTTAAGATTTCATTAACCAAAAGAACCAAAGGATACAACCATAATCACCTCCCTCAACAAAAACAAAAACCCAAAACAGCCGGCATAAACCCTATACAACACCACTAACACAGCGAAATCCATAAGAACAACAGTCACAAAAATGACTGACCATACTTAACACCTGAACTAATCCCGAAAAACACATAACAAAACAACTAAAGCAGAAGCCGAAAACACAGCAGACACAAACCGGAAAAACCAACATAAAAAATATAAGCCCTGAGCTTCCACACGAAGAGAACAAGAATCTTCAACCGCCATACTGCCTCATCCGCCTTACTGCCCCTTCTAGCTTGACATGTCGACATAGACCAACCGAACCTCCAACTTTAGAGCCTTCAAAATCAGAAAAAACTTCCTCTACCTGAATGCCTAATTCCATGTCAAACGTTCCAACGAATGCGGTAGATGGGATAGATAACTGTGATGATGACTTATGACGAAAACATTACGAGATCAAATGAAGAAGAATGACATTCTTTGGGTCTTTGGAGATGTTGAGAACATGAATCCCACGTTAAAAAGAAAAAGAGAGATCACGAAATTTATAAGTGATGACAGTACTGCATACCATATTGAATTTATTTTTTGAGAAGAGGATAATCATTCGTGACATAATACAATAAACTATTATTTATATATTTTAGTATTTTTTTCGAGTTTCTATAAAATAATGGATTATGTAAATCAAATCTTCAATCATTTTTCAATATCTTCGTTGAATGTTATATATTACAAATGAAGGTAGGCGTAGTAATTGGTGGTATTGAAAAATGCAATGGTAATAATGTGTAGAGTCAAGAGAAACTCGTGACCTCTCCTGTCTTTGCTCATTACTACCGCCATTTCTTCTCTTTGTTTTTCTTTCCTCCTAGCCCTTACGTTGAAGCAGCCTAAAAGGTCCAAACTCCATTAACGTTCAGCTAAAGCTCCACACTTGGGAAACAAATGGCTACCCACCTCAAACAATAGCTTATGATGTCAGAGACGAGCGCAAAATTTTATATTATAAATGAATTTTTAAAATTTTTAGAGGACGAAAAAAATTATTAGTAGAAAATATATTATAATTTAAAATTTAGGAGAGACGACCCCCGACCACCTCTTCGGTCCATCCCTGTACGAAATAATAAAAAAAATAAGGCATAATCATATTGAATAAATAGCACTTATCAGCTAATTGCATACTAGCAGTGACATCATGGTTCCTATGCACTCTCACGCAATCAAGAACCTCAAGAGAACTAAAGGCCTAAGCACAAAACCTAGTAGATGTGGATAGCTAATCCTTAAACTTTTAAACATTCCAACTTCATCCTCAAACTCTGACTCTCATTCTAAATGAGTCCTTAAACTTTTGAACATTTTAATTTCATCTACAAACTATGACTCTCATTCTAAATTTGTCCTCAATCTTTTGAATCTTCCAATTTCATCCCCAAATCCATCCAAAATGTAATTAGTTTCAACCATGGTTTAACTTAATTTTGTTTCAAATATATAATAATATAACATGACCTAACGATTTTATTAACTAATGGATGTGATTAGTATATACATATAATTTGGGATGAAATTAAAATGCTCAAAAAGATTGGGGGCCAATTTAGATGAAGATTATAGTTTGGGGATGAAACTAAAATGTTTAAAAGTTTGAGGACTAATCTAGAATGATAGTTATAGTTTAGAGATTAAATTGAAATGTTTAAAAGTTTAAGGATCAGATTAGAATGGGTGTCATAACTGAAGGACGTGTGATACAATTGACTCTAAATTTTTTAAAATACTTAATTATTTTAAAAATATTTTTATCATTTTTAAATTAATTTTGTTTTTATATAAAAATAAAATAATTGATGTGAACATCGATAAAAAGGATTTTATATCAATTTAACGGTTCATTACATTTTTATCAATTGATTTGAGTTGATAAAAAATTAAATATTTTTTCCTAAAAAAGTTAAACAATTAAATTAAAATAAGAATTATAATTTTAGATATAAAGTTAAACAATTAAATTAAATTAAAAAAGTTAAATATTTTTATAGTTATAAACCTTCATTATAATTTTAGATATTTTCTATTTTTTAATAAAATTAATGAATGTCATTTATGTAAAAAATGAAATTAAAATATGAATTATATATGTATAATTATTTATATTGAATCTATTAATTATTAAAAAAAAAGATATGGGAGGAGATAAGATAAGAGGGGCCACCTGTATAAGTGGAAGTGAGTTTGATATTTATTTTCATAGCATCAGCTAGTGGCTTGGACCCTTTGGGTGGTTCTCAACCCACTTGTCCGCCACTTCCACTGCTAATTATTGCACTTTGTAACTTACCACAACACTCTCTAACCCCAGTTTCTGTGTTTCAGATATTCAGCTAAATAAACCCATATTCTTGTAAAAAAATTATTGTTTTAATATTATTACAATATAATATCTATTCGAAATATTCGTAATCATTTGATATTAGTAAGTATCTATTTGAATACAATATAGGATAGAGAAGAAAGGAAAAGGAGGGTTGAAATCACTGAATTAAATGCAAAGGTTCCCAAGGGAGAAATGAGGGGGGGTCCATAAGGCTCGGGGGTGGTGCAGCCAGTCACCGACCTATGGAGCACTCTTGTGAACTGTCGAGGCTTTGCTATTGAGCTTGAACCGTCCAACCAATGTTGTGAACCAACGTCCCGACACAAGTAAACTTTTCGTCATTATTGCCCACAAAACTACAAAAACCTACTTTTTGGGCATTCTCCCTACGCAAGCATGCGTTATTGAAATGACCACATGGATTTATCCCATGTGTCAGTTTCATATATAATCCCTTAACCTGTGGCCCTGCTCTAATTTTTCTTTCTTGCTAAGCTTCCACGATATCCATACATGAAGATGAGTTTATGGCTTTTCTTTTCAGTTTTTCTCGTTGATTGATGAAAAATTTTAGGTTTTGACAATTAAAAATAACTTATTTTTCTTAATTTAAACAGAAAATCGTAATTATTAAACAATAATAGAATTATAAATGGTCAATGATATCCGGTTAATAGTGATCTTATAAATCTGAAGAGGAAAAATGTCCTCTTTGTTGCGTGGGAGATTTATATAGAGACTCTTAGGGTTGGTATTAAGCCTAAAGTTATAACTGTTACTTATAGGTTGGTCGATTGAATAGATATGATGATATGACAATGGATTTGATCATGACAGATCACGTGAGTTTTTTAAATGTCATATCAAATGTTATCATTAATCGAAGAATATGAATTTCTGAATGATTCAATTTGAGAAGTTGATTCGAAGGTTTCGATTGACGAAGAAGTAAAAGTGAAGAAGATAGGAAGAAGATACAACAATCACATAGTATAATATTTTTTTTATTCTTTTGTACAATAGATCGAATCAACATATCAATAGTTTAAAAATATAATATCTTGTTTTAAAGTGAAGTTATTTTTCTTATTTTAGAAGTGATAGGCATTAAGCTATAAATAAATTATTCATCTGTCATTTAAAAAATTAATGGTAAAAAGTTCTTTACAACTTCTTTTATAAATTATAGATTGTAATAAAAGATTTTTTCTAAATAAATCCGTTTTCTAATATTCTCCGTTTTAGATAAAAAATTTGTACTTGGTTTGATTTGATTTAACGTAACACACACACAAATATATATATATATATATATATATATATATATATAATTATCATTTTTATCAGTTAAAATACAGTTTTAATTGAAAAAATATAATGAAATATTATAAAAATTATCTTTAAATTATAAAGGTTAATAATTATAGGATTAGCCCAATGATGCTGACACACACATACTTGGTTTGCTTTGATTTATTTTAGGCTTATTATATAAGATTGTACAATATTGGAACCCACTTGTGATGCTGACAAGTTCTAAACAATTTAACGAATGGCCCATAAAGTACAGTAAATCTTACAATATGGTACATATACTTTAGAAATGACATTGCACATCTCTCCTATCTTTAAATGACACATGACATCATATAATGATGTTATATTTCTTAATAAATAATTTATTGTTATAAGAACTCATTTAGCGATCTCAAAGGTAAAAGGAAGTCGATCTCCTTAGAAAACTTGATTTCAAGTAGTTGCATTTACATAATTTGTATGTTGCCAATGATTAATAAAAAATCTAAACATATATAATCTTTTTATCACTCTAAACTATTAAAAATTATTATTTATAATTTTATAATTAAAAATTTGGCATATCGTACCATTTTATGGTGCATGTGTCAAATTAAATAATTATTTTAATTTTATAATAAAAAATGAAAAAAATGATCTAGTGTCAAGATAATTATTAATTTAATTCAAAAATTGACACATGATATCATTTTATAGTGTCATATCATATGTCTATTATATTAATAAAATTTAAAAATAATTTATATTTAACACGTAGCATCAATACGTAGAAATTGTGGATTCAATATCCATTAATAGAAATTGTTAAAAAATATCATACCATAATGTAATATCATGTGTTAATATGTAATTAAAGAAGTATGATGTTGGTCTAGTAGGATGAGGCACTAGGTCCCTTAAGCAAGGTCAGGGGTTCGAATCCTGACGTTTGTGAATGGAGCAAACTGGGTTGAGAGTGTCGCCCTCACCTCTGTAGTACCCGATCTGGATTAGTCGGTCAATAGATCGGATACCAGTGATTAATTCAATAAAAAAAAAGTGTGAACCTATTTCTTGTTTTGTAGTGCGAGTAAAATATTACACTTGAATAAATGAACGTAGAAGTGAAGAAGTGTGTAGGCGTAGCATGCAATTGATGAGGATGGAAGAATATAGAAATGAAAAATAGGAAGGAGAGGTGAAGTTGGTGAAGTCATAATTGCAATGCAAAGTTAATATGGGAAAGTTTGGTGGCAGTCAACCCTAGAGTAATAATACCCCATAGTACATCACCATAGTAACGTGGATATAGATTATATAAGTATATATATTGGATCAAGTATTATAGAGGAAAGAGCGACTATTTTAATCTAATTTTTTAGAGATATGATTACACTATCGATACTCTTTCGAACCATCCTTGATGATGGTGAATTAAAGTGACGAAGGTGGTAAGAGGCAGAGCAGTCCTTTGAAAAAATTCCTTGGTTTGATACGTTATGTTAGTTGAAGGAATGGTGTGGAGTGATAATTGCAAGAGAGAGATGGAATATGGAAAGGGGTAGTGAACAACTGGGAAGTAGGGATGGCAAATTAGGGATTTCGTATCCTATCCGCTCTAATTGGGGCGAGGATGTGTATAACTTTAGTAGGTAGTGGGCGGGTGTGAATTTAGAAAGTGGTACCCGTCGCGGGTAGTGGGCGGGTGATGAGTTTAAGACCTTACCCGTCCCGCATCCACTTGCCCACTAAATATCTATTAAATTTTGGACTATTATGAATTTAGGTATAATTTTAGAGACTAATTTATAAATATTTATATTGTATAAAATATAACTTATAATTTAACCAAAAATTAGGGATAAGTTTATGAATCAATTTTTTTCTTTCAAACCTCTCGTGCTTTGCTTGATGGTTATTGCGTCGATATTCTGGTAGTTCTTCTTCTCTAAATTTCAAACTCTGGTCTCTAGCCCATTCAGGTACGTCTTCTTCCTCTTCTTTACTTTGGTCTCCTCTGCGGGTAGTAGAGTTGTATGTCACCTTATACACAGATCCAAAATCACCTTCCCCAATCTTGTTTGTTGTATCAAAGTTGTTTGTGGCCGCTTTAATTTGTCTTAAGGTGAATACTCCGGTTTTCAGATTTAATCCTCTTAGTTATGTTCAAGATACAAGGCCAATAGTCAATACTCTGTTATTTTGATTTTGATATTCTGCTAAATCTAAGAGCATTCGTTTATTGATTTTGATTTTTAAGAAATACGTTATATGTATGTATATTGAATTATCGATTTTGGATTTAAGTGCATTCACACATTCTGCTGATTTTGAAAATTATGAATAATTTATGCATTTTAATTTGTATAATCATGCATTGAAAAACAAAAACATCTTGAAAAAAAAGCCCAAAACCAATAATCCGAATATGTTTTTTTATCGATCCGTATTCGATCTGATAATCCAGAAAAAATTTGGATTCCCGATCCGAACTATCCCAAAATTGAAAAATGGATCAGATATCATAATTTTTTGATCAAATCAACGGGTCAACAGATCAGATCGGTCGGATCAGATTTTTTTGCACACCCCTAGTTGTCAGGCGGGTTTAGCCGGATATGTCTCCAGTTAGATGGTGGGTGTGGGATAGATTTGAGAATGTACCCGTGTGACGGGTGTGTATTTGAAATTTTTTACCTATCATGGGCATATAGTGAATTGAAAAATACTAGGTGAACATAGAGATGAGAGAGAAAGTGTCCGCAACCGATCTAACCGTTTGTTATCCCTAGTGGAGGAGAGTAATTGAGTATTTTGTAGTTTCTGCACGTAAAAGAAGACTGGACAGGTATGGCATCATCAATCATGGATCAAATTACACCATAATAATAGGGCTGGGGGTCCATCACCACCGTTGGATTTTAATGAAGGAGTCAAAGTTTTGACCGTCAGACTAGACCACACAGACGGCAATGTTTGGGATGGGACCCTCCCCGTTTTGACTCTCAGATTCATTCATTTTCTTTCTCTGGTTGGTTTAGCAGTGGAACAAAACTTTGTTTTGTCATTCAATGTTGACATGAATTTCTTTTTCCTTTTTCTGGGATGGTTTTACTGTAAGAGCTGTCGTGAATCATATTACACTGTCTGCAACTCGTCGTTGACTCTGGTAGATGCTCTACTAACTCGCACGAGTCACACCATTTTTTCTTTTTCTGGGTTTGTGTGCTGATACTACCATTTTTTGATCGTGGAAGTGAGTGAAGCAGGACGATAACACCATCTTATAATATATATATATATATATATATATTTGTATAGATATGATTTTTTTAATTATTCAAGAATTTTCACATTAATCATAATTCTTTTTTTAATTATATGAGTTGTATAATAATTTTTTAAAAAAAAGTTTTGAATCAAACCATAATCTTTAACAAGAAATTTTAAGAGTGGATGATTTTGTCACAATTACCCTATGCTCTTTTGAAATTATTTTTTAAAATTCATATATTGATATTATATGAGCATAATATTGAGATATTTTTTTGGGAAAATAAAATTCTATAGGGTGGTTATCCTAATTTATTTTCTCAAATAAGTTATTTTCTACAGTGTTATAAGAAAGTCATATGGATCATTCAATATATTCATGAAGATGCATGGAAGACTCAACGACTTCTCTTAAGATGTATGTATGCCTGCAAGCTAACAACGTTGTAGTTCGACCGGTGTCTTTCCAAAAACATTGTGTAATCTCGGTGTCTTCCAGAAGTCGTCAAATAATTCGGACGTCTTCTATAGTATATTGTAACAATAATCTTAGATGAGAAAATAATTTTCCTAACCCCGAACAAATCCCTTTTTCAACATCATTACTAAAGAAAAATTGCCTTATATTATAGAGATAAATAAGATATATATTTATAAGATATGATTTAATATAAAAATTGATATTCAAAATTTATCCCTTTTTTCATTAAGTTAAAAGTGATTAGAAAGTAGTATATGTTCTAAGTACTTCCAATCATTTGACAATGAACGCTCAATCACCCTTACAATCGCTGGTGCTTAAACCCGTGACTTCTAGGAACAATAACAATTCCTTTAACAACTGAGGTAAGTTGCTTCGTGCTTATCTTTTTTTTCCCCTTGTGATGTATTACTTATGTTTCTTATATAAATTAATCTTTAAAATTTTTTTTAATGTACTATAATTTTTAATTCAATACTTAAATTTGACTATTTTCTAATTAGTACCTATATTTTTTTATAAAATGGTACTTTAATTTATCTTTTAGTTTTTTGTGTAATATTATTTTTTTATTGGATATTTAATTTGAATTTTTTTAAAAATAATACATTAATTTAATAATTTTAACAAATATTGTAACAATAAATTCAAATACCATAATAAAAAATGGCAAATTCACATTTTAATATACTAAGTCAAATGATGTAATAGGTGGCTGCTAATTTGCTTTGTTTCTTACACTTTCTTTGACGTTCTTTATTAATGAAAAAAACTATTATTTAAAAAATATTTTTATTTCATGTAACAAGTTATATCAGTAATTAAGAATTGTTAGATACAATATTAAAATATATTGCACGTTCAATAAAAATTCAAATTTTAATTAAAAAAAGTAATATTATTAAGAGAAACGTTGCAGATCGAAGAATAGAAAATATATTATATAAAAAAATAGACATATACAAAATAAAAGGGAAAATATTTCACCTCGCCCTATCAAACATGGGCCAGCCCAATCAATTACATGTGGAGATAGGCCGAGAACAACCTATAATATACATGAACCATACGCTGTGATGGGCTTATATTATTAAAAAAAATTGAGTCAAATCGAGTATAAAATTCAAGTCTAGTCTAATTGTTTGAGTTTCTGTTTAAATTTAATTATAAATATTTATAATATTATGATACTATTTGATTTCAATTTAAACATTTTTTATAATCATGTACGATATACATATATTTTTTCATATGTAATATATATCATGCAGAGTTGTAGACTAGTCTTGAACTTGAAAATCAATTCATTAATTATTAAAAAATTTTGAATTATTCAATTTCTATTTTATAACTCAACTAGAATTTAAAAAATTTCGAGTCGAGTCGTGCTAAGTCTAATCAAATTTTTTAGCATCGAATCGAGTTGAAAATTTTGATTTTTTCAAGATGAGTCGAGTTCTGCTCACCCCTACAAGGGGCTGAGTAAGAACATATTGAAACTTAAGCTATGATACTACACTAAGCTTCTAACTTAAAACAATTAAGTCACAAGTGAAGGGCTTAACTTTAACATAATATCACAATAAACTCGAACATATGTGAGATAAGATCACTTAACACGGACGATTAAGAAAAACAAAATGGGAAATAATTAAAATAAATCATATAACATTATTTATTAACTGTTAAACATTTAAACAAAATATATCACTATAAAAAGAATTATTACATGGAGAAACAACAGTAAATTAAAAAAAAACAGTTATGACATGAAAAAACCACATAAATACATGGATAGTGTAATCTAGCAACAATTAAAAAAGAGGTTAGTTACCATTTACCAGTCTCACCACTTTCTTTCATCAGAATTGTGGCTGGCCAAGATTTATGAGCCAGGTATACTGCATATGAATGTCACCTATCAAGGTCTGTACACCAAGATTAGCATTCTGATTTTAGCAATATTCGGCTCCAAACCAATAACAAACCGTATCCGAATAGCTACTTGGACTCATTCTCAGAAAGCTGTCTTCTTAGATCCTTAAGAGCATCGACAACTTCAGAATCGAGATTGTGCTTTAATAGTTTACCTTGAAAAGAAGTAGACCTGAAGAAGGTGAAAACATGAATCAATATATTTTTCGTGCCAATGATACAAAAGTACACTTTGTCAAGCAAGGTTTGTTCAACTAGCATGATCAAGATGTTAGTAAAGCTGGAAAGCATTATCTAAGTAGAACGTTATCACAGGTCTCAAATGAGACGTGAACTGTGAAGTGGAATAGGCTAAAAGATAAGTCTACAGAACAGGTCTAGCTTAAGTTGCCAAAATCTGCTTTAAAAAGCAGCATAACATTAACGGTCCAATCTTTTAGTATGATTGTTTCCTTTATGATATGTTGGAATCTGATCCCAAGGTCAAAACTATGTATGCAAGGTAACCTTATTCCTTCACTCCTACCCACAGCCGACAAACTACGTAAAATTGTCATTGCCACGAATAATTCCTTAGTTTGTTCTATGGATGCATGTGATTGCTAAAAATAATTCCCTCAGTTTGTTTCTATGGCTGCATCTGAAGGAAATAAGGCCACTATGTATTATGATTTCGGCTTTAGGCTTATCTTTTATGTGATGTTTTCCTATCGTCAGTCATAAGTTCTATTAGTTGTATGACAATTTTAAAATGCAGCACATAAACCACACAACATTTACTTCTGTTAATTTCTTAGGTGCAAATTTTTGTAATTTCGTTCTAATTGGGGAACACCTCTGTTCTTGAAGCATCCTCTCAACCTCCTTCTGTGAAGCTTTAATCTACATACAATAAGAGGAATTGTCAAAAAATATATATTGCATACAAACAATGTTTCACTAGAAAAAAGGGGCAGACAATGATTACAATCTGTCGTAGAATGGATGCAATTTACAGACAATACTTCAATATACGAGGGCTACATCAACGGTAACAATTTGTCATAACAAGGATGCTTATCTCTTAATCAGGGGAATGACATCAAGTAGCAATGTGTTATAAGAAAGACTAGACTAGACCGTTTGGAAATGTTCTCTCCAGAGAATTTGTCTCGATGATCTATAACGATATTCACTCTATTGGAACGGACAAGAATCAAGAAGGAAAGGACTTGTTAGATCAGAAAAAGAGAAATGTCTTGTCCTCTCAATCACTCATAAGGATAGGATGGGGGCATTGTTGATGAAACAAAAGGTAAATCCCTGTTACATTACTGTTACATTACTTTTGATGTTTTTTTTCCCTTTGCGTAAGTCCCTCTGTCACACTTGCTAAAGTAGAAGCCATAGAACATACTGAAAAGTTGTTACTAGTTTATCCATAGCTCACTAAGATATTTATCATCTTGGTGTGGTTTGCATTTATTTATTAGAAACATCCATGTACATGTAATTGATTAAATCACATCGATTAAATCACAGGAAAAACTCTCCACTCATTAGCAATTGATTTCAAGTTTGATACTTAACACGGTATTCTTTTGTTCCAGCCTAATTCCATGTAAAGTAGATACCCTTGTGATGTTGTCCATAGGCAGCTCCTTGCTGAGCTACATGTGAGAGGGGTTGTTAATTAGTATTATCCTACTTCCATTAGGTCTTTGGTTTCCTATGATTCTAATCTGAGGATATGATTATTTTAAGTTCAATATAGTTATCTAATTTGGATGGAATGCAAAAAAATGTAGAGCATTTAATTAAAAAATATGGCTCACCTCAGAAACTAATGCCTTGGAGCTCCAAACAAAGGCTCCCTGAACAAAAACATTAATATGAATAAGTCCAATGAATAATTCAATAGATCATTCTTGAACGACCTTCAAAACAGAAGACACATGCCTAAAATAATAATACAAGAGGTAAGTGATCCCAACAAGGATCAAGACAGTCACGCAGCCACTTGATTCTTAAAACCCTCATTTTCTAACGGTGATTTATTAACTAATCAACCCTTTTGTTTTTAATTGTAATGCTTCACACTTGACGATAAAGAGGATGAAGGTTTTTTTAGCTTCACTTCATCACCAAGGATACTAAGGGAGAACTCCAACTATCATCAGTGACACCTTAGTTGCTACAGTTTAAGCAACCTATAGGCTATAGTTTCTATACATAGGTTGCAAAATTTTGCTAAAGGATGTTGGACAATATTTCTTATATATGGGGTGGAGAAATATCTTACTTAAGTGATAGTGAATGCATGAAGTTCTGAAATTTACTGATCAACCTGTGATGCAACTTTTCAGCTGTGACTCCAAAGAATCCTGGATGTCAAGCTTACTTTAGAAAGTATGATGTGCCATACGGCCACAGTACTTGTGGTATGGCTCCATAAGGTCCTGTATATTCTACAAAGTTTTGTAACTGCTACGGTGTGCCCATACTTTAATCTCCTTTTGCCTACTTGTTACATCAGCAATTCATGGACCAAGGGCATCTCAAGTATTGAGAAGATTTCAATTTTAAATGAGCACATAGCAGAAATTACCATCAAACAATTATAGCCAGGTAGAATTTCATAACTACTACAATAGAATAATTTGTTGATTGTAAGGCAATACTTACCGCTCCATGTGCTGCTTGCTGCTGACAATTATCAGAAGTCACAACCCATACTTTGGGGCATCCATCCTCCTTCAGAGCTACAACCTGTTATACATTTGACATGCACACTTGAAGTCAGTAACAAGGACAAGAATAGTTAATATATTTTACAGAAAGATGTATACTAGATGTCATGGAGAAGAGTTTGGGCAACAGATTTTATAGGAATAACTTACAGGGCAGACAGTTCTAGATGCATAATTGATACTATCCCCTAATGCTGGATGCATAACTGAAACTATCCCCTAATGCATAAAGTTTAGAAGAGGTGAAGCGACTTTATTTGATATGAGGCCTCTCCAATACTCTCTAACATATTCTGCAGTAGCATCTCTAGAACTAACTGAGTATGATTTACCTGGAGGCCTCAACATTAAGAAGTGTTTTTTTATATAAAAAAAGAAGGTTGAAGGAAGGATATGCTGCATGTCTAACTAATCAGATGATACTGTACCATCCATTCATAATAATCCTAGAAGATTCTCAAGCTAATAAAAAACATGATTTGTTGCTTTCTTTTTTCACTGTTGCCCAATAACATAATTTGTAGTTTAATATAACTTATCATTGAAGAAAGAGCAAAGTAAAACTCTCACTATAATGTGACATGAAAAAAGTATAACGACTAATGAGGCATGCCAATCCTTTTATTCTTCTATATATATGAAACCAAATATGCTAAATAACCAGTAACAGAACAATTCAAATTCTCATCTAGTTGTCATCTCAGACCTCTTTTTCAATCCATGCATCAGCACAAGATTCTCCCGAGTAAACTATATCGATGCTGAAAATTGGAAATTATTAACATCAGAAATAAAAGTTTAATCTTATTGAAAGCAAGGAAATTCAGTTATATAAATAAGAGACATCAAACAATGAAGTATTTAAGACCACGCAGCCAATTCAAGGCACATTATGCACATACCATAGCTTTACGTTACCAGGATCGATGTAAGCGTTGGATATATATGTCTAACAAGGACATGAACAATATTTATAAGGTTTTGCATATATACGGAAGGTTTTACATCACACCCGTGTTCAAATATGTGTTGGACACGAGTACATCAAGAAAAAAGAAATGTCAGAGCAACATATCGACTGCTAATTATTGAAGTTTCCATCGCTTGACAACCATCCATATCCAGCATTGACTCTTCACATTACCTTTTTATTTTTATTTTTGCTAGACTTTTAACTTCTGTATAGGATACAGTGTATGCCATGTCCTATGTTTTTTATGCAAACACCATAGAAACCGCAAACATATCACACACGTAATACAAGGAATTAAGATCATACCCAATGCCTGACTAGTCATACTAACATAAATATGGAGTAAAAGGTCAACATAACCAACACTACAGATATATAGCTGTTGAATGCATGTGGAGTCCCTTGAGTTAAATGAATGATTCGGAGACAGCAAGTTCGAGTTTTTGAGCATCATCTTGATATCTATTACAAAAAAATGATATCTCAATTTTATTGTCTGTATGACTAATGAATTCTTGTATAAGCCACATAGTGATCATGAAATATGGGTTGACATAAGACATGATGTAAAGTACCTTTCATGCCAATGTTTGAATAGGAGAAGTAAAGCAAAAATTGTAGAATAAATTGAAAACCAGTTGACCTGGAGTCCTAAGAAGCCCAAATGTAAAATAACAGAGGATGAACTTAAGAAACGTGAGTAACCATTCAGATGTGTGGATTTAGCAGCAAAGCAAATCATCATCATACAAGCATGGAGTTTTAAGCTGGGTCCAGCAAGTAGATAACAGCATATGTAAACCTAATTAAAAAAAGGCAGAATGAAGAGTTCCTGTAGAAACAAGTAAGTGCGTCATAGCAATGAATTTTTTTGGATTTACATATCATTACTAATAAAAAATAATAATCAATCTAACATAAAGGAAGATTCACTGGTTCATCCAAACAAGCAAGTTTAGCATAGATGATAAAGATATTTCCCATTAATGAACTTAAAGAGAAAAAGAGGACTGAAATTGTCTTTGACAGTAAAAGAATCAGAATCATATAGTACCCAGCAAAAGTTTCCTTGTGTGTAGGAAGTCCAGACATCATGGCATCAAATACAACAACCACTTTAACCCCTGAAATTATTTAAAAAATAACAAGATTTAGCACGTTAACAACTTGGCTGAGGCATCCTACCATACTGGTAAACTAGAACCTACATTCCTACATAACCTGATCAGAGAGTTATGCGAACATTAACAATCAGCGGAAGATAATTGAAAGAAGTTGTACACAAAATGTCTGATATTGAACATACTGAAGCAGAAAGGTGTGAATAGATAATCATTTCCTAATTGGTGCATATATTAACTTGCTTTTGCTACATGTTTTGATAGTTAAACATCATGATCATGCACGGAATTCCCACGGAAAATAATTAGATATGGAAGAAGCAAAGTATAAACCTCTCAGCATACTGAAAGTTATAAGTTCATCAATTAGTTTCTGGCGAGCAGTGTCAAGCCTTCCTTTCATAAAATACTTCTTCAGCTTCACCCAATAGCCACATACATTGTAACCATCAACGAGCAATACAGGGACTGCATCATCTAGACCCTGGTTGGTACTGTAGAAACTTTTAGCACCAAGAAGTTAAAAAAAATGAATCGGTACAAAATTGACCAAACAAGAGAAACTTGGACAGTGCTTACTAATAAAGGGTCGTTGTTGGATCACGATAAAGCTCTAAATCTTCAGGAAGCTCCTCCTTCTGCACCTTCTTTCTCCTATAACTAGTTGCAGGCTTAGGTACACTGGATTTCCTCTTTTGGTATTCCTACATGATTTTTTTTCTCATATAATTAAGATAAGAAGGATTGATTTACAATAAAATAAAAGAAGCTTAATGGTTTCAGAGTTCAGACCTTCCACAACTTTAAAAACTGCAAGTTCTGCTTGACATTGGATGTGATTCTTGGAGGAGCTGATTCGGGTCCCTTACCCTATCAATGATAAAGCTTAGCTTGTTAGAAACAGTATGAAAACGGGTAACAAAGCTCCAGATAATCTGAAGAAAAATTGCAGAAAAACTGAAAACCTTATTGGGAGAAGGAGAAGAGGACATGTTGAGGATGACTGTCATGCCCTTGTAGGTAGTGGAATCGCAGCAGCAATAATGAAGTGATTGACCGATAATTTTCATCTTCAGGGAAGATCATTACATCATTAGCTCCGTCCCTTGCCTTCGCATTCAACCGGAAAACTTAAAAGCTCTGTACGGCTCAGACAGCTTCCATCGTCATCGTCATGTCTTTTTCTTTTTTCTTTAGTTCTGATACTACATCGTTATCGTAATTATTTTATGGATGACCTGTTGGATAAAACATCGCCACAAATATTTTCATACACTATTTGCCCCTAAAATATACCGCTTTCTTATTTGACCTGAAATGATTTTGGCCTATGCAAAGGGCAAATAATGTAAAAGAAAATGAGAGAAATAGAGATATAAGAAAATTATTTAGTAAATTATAGCAATAATTTAAATTATTTTTAGATGTTCATGATTTTGATAAAATTATTTTGAGATAAATTGAGAGTTTATTTTTAATATTTTTGTTGTTATGTGAGTTTTGTCTATAATTAAAAAATATATATTTTTATTATAAAGAGTTTTTGAAGAAAAAAATCATATTCTGCAACAATTAGATGTTAAGACACAAGTTTATTGTTAAATCAACTTAAGTGTTTAAACTCGTTTTCAAAGAATACAGTATTGATATCATACATATACACTATGTATAGCATGAAATCCGAATGGATTTCATATTCAAATGACCAGAGATCCTAAATGCTAAGTCCTATTCTCCAATCTAATAGCCAAACCACCATTAGTTTACTACTGCAGGTTGTTCTCCTTTGCACTTCTTTCACTTTCGAGGTCATCAAGGTGCCAAAAAAAATACTTCCAGAATCATAAGACTGTAAGTCACGTGAACTGGAATCAGATAAGCATGTTTACGGCTTCCAAGGTGCCGGTGGTGGCGGTGGTGTTGGGAACATTGGTGGGACTGCAGAAAATATAGTATTCTTATCAATCCCAGTTGATTTATCACCAGACAGCGCCACTAGTGCAGCAACCAAACCAGCATTGCCTGCAAGAGTTGGCTCGGTGTAGTTGTAGTTGGTACGAATGTCATGAAATCCATCATGCTTGTCAGGTCCAGCAACCATGGCTCCCACAAGTGTGTTCGGGTTTGGCTTTTTCGAATCCCTCCATTTCCATCCCCCCTTACAGTTGTATTTGATTTTATTCTTAGGGATAGATGCACCTATATGGTGAACATGTTTAGGGTAATGGTTACCAAAACCCACAACATAGCTCATTTTCCGAGGATTTTTGCCGAGGATGTAGTCAATCTGCAAAGTAACAGCCGAAGAAACAAAATCATTGTCTACCGGCCACGGTATGATTCAGGACTTAGAGGTATCAACCATTTCCCCTAGACTATCTTTTGAAAACGAAGGCTACAATATACCTGGGTTTTAGCAAATTCACGCAAGACATTAGTTGAATAGAAATTTGGACCACAATACCATCCAGGTGTATCGGCAGCATCAAGATAATCACTGAATAAGGTGGCTAAGAAGGCTGCATTGACAACATACTGCAGAGGCTGAGGCCTACCATGGTTTAACTGAATCAAACCTCCTGTAGCAATGTCCAAAGTTACAAAGGTCAAAAGAAAATTACATAGCCAACACATTTAAGTACGACATGGTTAACAAAAAAAAAGGAATTTTACCTTTAGTTCTATTAAAGCTAGTAAAAACTGGAAGGTATGAGCACATAACTATGCTTGTTTGATTGTGAAACGTTCTCAATATTTCCTCGTATGGATATCCAGGACTTAAAAACAATCTCAACCGGCTCAAAAGCACCTAAAACACAAAACATTGGTTATATTAGTTATGAACATAAAAGATACTTCCAAAAGGCTCCATCGCTAAACACTGACAAAAGTTGTTAAACCATATATGGGCAAATTGTGACAAGTAGTAAATGTATAACTTGTTACTGCAAATAAAGACATACACAATTAAGCATGCTAATTAAATTTTATCCGAGAAGCATAAGTGCAACTTTAACAGCCTTGAAGCTAGCTAAAACTTATCCAGGAAATGTATGATTGATGATTTAGCAGTACGGTCATACACAAAGTTGAGGAAAAGATCAACGGGAAAATGATTAACTATACAAAATGAAACAACAGATGAATGGCCATGGTGCTTAAAATGTAGTTGAGACTACTTTATATAGAAGACAAATAATGATGGAGAAACAAGAACTAGGATGTACATTTACTACTATGAACATAGGGCAGAAAACTGGAAGAATTTTTTCCAAATGCTATCAAGAAAACTAATCTTAATTGCATTTGAATATCGCGGTACTGCTAACAACACAAACAGAACCTAACATACTACTAGGATGTACATTTACTACTATGAACATAGGGCAGAAAACTGGAAGAATTTTTTCCAAATGCTATCAAGAAAACTAATCTTAATTGCATTTGAATATCACGGTACTGCTAACAACACAAACAGAACCTAACATATAAACTTCTACCAAAAAGGCCTCGTGTTAACCAAATAGAGCAGACAGCGACAAGAGGTACAAGACTAGAAGACAAGCATAAAGTTACCTGAGCACCAGCAAGCTTGTTATCCCAGCTAAGAATGCCGTAATCTGGGCCTCCCCAGAAAGCGCCAGCATGCTTGGCAAGTTTAGGATGAGTAGCCAACTGAAGGTAGGAAGAATTCCCAGTGGCATAGTATAACCAGGCTCCACCCCAAACGAACTCATCCCAGTAACTGGAGGAGTTATAAAAGAGGGCAGGGTCAGAACCACCAGCACTGTATCTGCCTCTTTGATCCCTGGAAAACTGAAAGAGGGTCCGTGCACCGTGGACAAGCTTTTGAGAGTATGCCTTGTTGTCTTTGAAAACAATGGAAGCAGAAGCCAAAGCAGCAGCCATTTCGGCAGCAAGATCAGAGCAGCTGTGACATTCATAGACAGGACGCGGGTAATCAATGTCCTCAGGGCTCATCCAGCAATAATGATCATTTGGTGTCGTACTGCCTCCAGATGTATCTCCTACCCCAACCTACAAATTTATAACTTACCAATCAGCATAGAAAAATGACAAAGAACAGTGAAATAAGGAATTATATCCGTATAATTATACCTGCGCTGCAATCTTATCTATTTTATCAGCTGAATTGTTGAAAGTCTTGAGCAGATAATCAGTACCCCATTTGATAACCTCCTTAATATGATTGAGTTCCCCAGCAGCCTCGTATTTAGCTCTGTACTCGATGACGCTCCAGCTCAACATGGTCATGGCGAAAGATGCAGGGAAGTTGAACTTGATAGCATCTCCTGCATCGTAGTACCCGCCGACCAGATCCTTTATCGTAGTGGAGGTATCGGATTTGCCATCTCGGAGGCACGAGTTTCCTCTCCACGATACATTATTATGCTTGGGCAGCTTCCCCGATGCAGTGCAGTTATAAATTAGCTTATCATCATAATTATATGTAATTAAGACTATTATATTATATTAAGCTCTGAAAAGCATGGATTTAACCTGATCTGACCAATACCCAACTTAGATCTATAATAATTGAAGCTCAAAAACTAAGGTAAACTTACAACGCTGAGCGTTGAAGAACATGAGCGCCTTGTGAAGTGCGAGAGTGTAGTTATCGGGTGGAGGCTTGCCGTGGTGATGACGTGGAACCGTTTTCACGATCAGGGTGATGAATCCGGCGAGAAGTCCGGAGACGAGCAGTGTCCCGACCGTCCAAACAAAGATCTTGCGGCTGACAATGATGCAACCGAGATCGACGTACCTCTTCTTCTTCTTTTGCTCGCTGGGGCCAAGCAGCCAGCTCTGCTGTGTCTCGTCCAAGGGACGAGAGAGAGCAGCCCTGTCAAGGTCTTGTAGATTCCTGCTCCGGTCGTCGTCGGTGGCGGAATCCGTTGCATTTATCTCCAACGGGCCTCCCCACGGATCTCTACCGTACATGCTCATATTGATGAGCCTTTTTTTTCCTCGACAAAGAAAGAATTGACGAACTAAAAGATAATACTTCACAGAGACTACAATGGCAGCAGTAGATCTGACTGAGATGAGAAGAACAGGAAATGAAAGATAATGATTGATGAAAAGGAAAAATACGGGGTAAGCAGGCAGTGGCTGAGTTTGCTTCTATGTTTTATTGTTTTTTTAGCTTTATTGTAAGCTCAGCTAACATTGAGCTGGTGGCCCCGCTTGGGAAGCTTATTTTAGTTTCCTCCGATATAGTAATACATTTTCGTTAAATTCTATAATAGATCCCCTGTACTATGATGTCTTTTGGATTTAGTCCTTATTGTATTTTTTAAAATAATTTAAGTGATTATAAGGTAGTATCCAGGGATGTATCAAAATAGAGCGGGTGAGGAAAGTCTTCCCTTAAAAATTTCAAATTAATACACATTTTAGATATTTTCAATTGATTTTTTCTCTAAAATTTTATAAGTTCGTCCCTGAGTATAAGATCATGAATTAGTCTCTGGTAGTATTCGTTCAATTTTTTTTCTTAACCAATTAATAATATAGGCATATCGTGCAGACACAATTGCTTGAATTCGAAATTTTTAAGAAAAATAACATTTTCTTTTATCATCAAGTTCACTCAATGAATTCTCTTATCATAATTCAATCAAGATGTATATATCATGCTCTTGTATATTTAAAAAATAATTTACGTACAATTAGTCAGGGGTTTAATAAAAAATATTGACTTCAAAACTAAACATACAAGTTTCAAAAATATAAGTATAAAAGAAGTTCAAATGATAGTAAAAGGACTAAATTAAAAAGAAAACATAATAAAAAGACTTCTTTAGAATTTGGTCAATCTCTTTTATTTATTACTAATATTAACATACTCTTGTCGGGAAAAAACACAAAGACCGACACGCACTATCAGAAAATCTTAGTTTTAAAAATGTTGTTATGATTATAGTTATAGTGATTAATTAATTAATGTATTAATATATTAATAATGATGATTACTTGGTGCGGTTGATGAAACTGGGAAAGAGAGACAACGACGACAGTCCAGCTGTAATGTTTGGTTGGAGTCCAATTTAATTTATTTCTCGGTTTCCACAACCCAACTGCTTCATTCAACGTTTCAGCCAAACGGTATGCAATAAAAAAATGTTTTTTAATATCGTACACGATAAAAAATTCAACTAAATAAATTACTTTTT